CGATGACTTGTTAACGGAACAATCTCTTCTGCGAAGCAAACGCGAGGTTTTGTCCCTTAAATTCACAGCGATTTTCTTCTTCCTCTGAGGGAGGAAAAAAAAGACTCCAATCCAATATGTAAACTTTCTACTATCGGCAAACAGCGCGGAACAACAATATTTCTTGGCTTAAAGTGACTTAACAAAGCGATGCCAAAAGTGAATGAGACCTTTCCCTCACATACTTTATTTTGGAAAACCCAAGTCCTAAACAGAGTTCTCTATTCAGCGCATTTAACCAGTCCTTTTCTGACAAAAAAAAAAACAAACTTTTTTTTTTTTTTTTTTTTAAATCCAAATCGCTGGGAGCTGATTGAGGAGCGTGCTCCCATAGGTTTGCCTTTGTGAATGAAGCCAGCAGCTCCCCTCAGGTTCTTGGTGCAAGAGGCAAAAAAAGAGAAGTCAGAATCGTGTGCGCAACCGACCGAAACTGAAGTAACAAATTAGCATTCTCCTTTCCGAAGTACACACTCCCTGGGCAAGTTCCCCGTGGCCCTGACTTTGCATATTAAGGATGATTAATTAGCAAAGCAGATGGAATTGATTATGTTGTTTTGCTGCAGTCGCTGCGTTCTACCTATTAACTGCTAATTCCTGGGCAGCCCAGCGAAGTCTACCAAAAGCTATGAGCTTCTCCAAAGGGAATTCTAATTTTTAGCATGAAGGAATTTAAGCAGCACGGAGAGTCAATAACCAAAGCGTGCTTCACGTCCCCAGTCAGTGAAAGTTTGTTGATTTAGCTATTTATAATCATAAAAATATATGATTTGCAAAACTGAAGGAGGAGAAGGAAAATATTCTGACTCCTTGCTTTATTTTTACTCATCTTGCAAGCTCAGAGTCTAAGATTCTGGGGTTTTTGGGCAACCAATGTCATCAAGTGCAAAAATGTAAAATCAGGTCTTGCTAGGTAACTAAAGGGGAGGCTCATTTTCAGATAAGTTTGAACAGTTCACACACTTTTTTTTTTTTGCATTTTTAAAGCTTTTTTTTCTTTCCCTTGAGATCTTTATTAATTTCACATTTTTTTTTTAAATCCTCTGCAACAACTGCAGAATTAACTTGGCTCTTGTGATTTCTCAAGCACAACACAGCCCTATTTCCCCCTGGAGAAACGGAACTCGTGAGGCAGCGAGCAGCAGCCAGGGCCAGGCTCTGCATCACCCGGCTGCAGCATTGGGCTTATTCCCCCCAGTCCACCTCTTAACCCACTGTGGCCTCCAGCCAAGCCTGGAAGAACCAGTATCCGTCTGGCCAGAACTGGAAGAGCCAGTATTGGTAGGACATGATTGCCCTTGAAAACTTCCCCTTGCTCCGTGGGCTGTCATTTAACCTCCTCCCTGCCAATGCTGCATTGAATTGAGTCTTGGACTGTTGAGTTTGGCCCATCAGATTTCTCCCAAGTTGACACATGGCTCACAGCTCTCTAAAGGACCTCGTGCAGGCCAAGACGAAGCAGCCGGGAGCAGAGCAGTTAGTAGCTACTGCACGGTAGGGAGAGGCAATAAAGCTTCTCCCTCAGGATAAGATGTGATGGTACCAGGGTCTGTGCCTCCTGGAGGAATGCTGTGACAGGACAAGAGGCAAGACCTCTCCACAGTTCAGGCTGCAGCTGTAACCCATGCACAAAGGAAGATTTCCCCTTTGATTCCCCCCACATTTTGACCTCATGTTGGGCAAACACCGTCTCAAGCCCTATTTTAGGAGAGGATGTCTCAGCTGAAAGGAATGCGGACAGGAGGTGAACTGATGGGAGATCATTGGGAGAAGAAGCAACAGCAGGAGGAGAAGGTAGTGGGTAGGGAAAACAAAGATGGGGGAAAGGTTCTGATCCCACCTCTTTTCCACTTCCTTTCTCACACCTTGCTCTTCTCCGTATTTCTGGTAGTTAAGAGATACGAGGAAAAAATGCTTGTCTGTGGCTACTCTAGTATTAATTCTACAAATGAAATATGAGCGCTAATGACAGACAGTGTTCTTCCCAGGCAGGTTTGGAATATATACATCAGAAATTGCTGATTAAAGAAAAAAATCTCAAAGTGTGTCTGTCAACATTTTTTCCAGTTTAAAAAAAAATTTAAAAAATGAATATTTTTGTTTCATCTTGCATGTTTGCATTCAAATTTTCAAAATGAGAAATCCTATTTTCAGTGTTTAGGTTTATAGATTACTTTTAAAGAACGAGCAAGTTTGGGCCACTATCCAAAAACTCACCAAAACAAAAAACAAAACAAACAAAAACATATTTCAGTTGACCTCAAAGAGCTTCATTTCATGCTGTGAAGGAGGCAGAGAAAACACCTGGGCACACCGGCGCTGTTCCACCACCTTGACTCCATTCAACCGTTTATGGAAATTCCATGTTGCTCTTTTTAAATGACTTCTTTTATACAGAACACCAAACAAGGATCAAACACAAACACTAAAACAATTTTCTAATCACCCTTAAAATGTCCCATAATTTCAAGGGATCATTTTTATCAGGATCGGAACCTGCATCACACAATGGAGAAAAAATGTTAAATCCACCATATATACATATTTTTATTTTGTATTGAAATGGATAATCTTAAGAATGCAGAGAGAACCTCTCATTTCTTGCATCACTTTGGTTATCTTCTGATGCATACAGAGATTTCAAATATTGTGTGTGCTAGTGGAAAGTGTCCTCAAAAAGCAGATCTCTTCTACGGGATCTGTAGCACAACTATCCTACTATCCTTCTCATGCACATGGAACACTGTTTTATTAAAAGGTGTTAATAAAATAGTCTGTGTTATAACATAGTCTAACATAAATCAGTGATTATGTTGGATTTAAGATAATAATTCTAATCAAATTCTGAGCACCAAAGTGCATGGTCATGGTACGCTTGATTGTCATCTCCTCTTCCTCCCATAAAAGTCCTTAAAGACAGAATCTCTTCAGAACATCAGTCATAGTTTCTGCTCATTACTTCAAATACTCAAGAAGAGGGGGAAAAAAAAGCACTGCGTCTAATCAGCACTACAGGAAGAGTTTGGAGAGACAACAGATAATCATGTAAATTAGACGGGGATTAACTCCCTGAGTAAGCCTATCTCCCCGTGCCAGAGGCGGTGATTCAAGGCTGTGCGGCTGCGAGCGCGGGTCGCGGCCGTGCCCGAGGAGCGCGTTGCTCTCCTCGCTGTGGCCAGCACGTAGCTTTTGTCCCGCACAAGCGCCACTTCCCGGGGATGGCGTTCCACACGCTGACATTGGGTGTCTCCTGCTCTGCTGCCCACCACACAGTCCCTCTGTCACTGAGACTTGACTCCACTGACCGCAGTGAGTGCCGGGGCGGGGAGCGCGTTGCTCCAGGCCTGCTGAGCGTCCCGTGCGGAGCGAAGCCCTCATCCTGCCTGCAGCGTGTGGGGGCCAGTGCGCCGCCACACCGCGCCACACGCCTGGCCTGCACCAACGAGCCGGTGAGACATCAGTTGCTCCTGCTTATCCTGCTTGGTAGCAGGCAGTAGGGTTAGTGTTTGCTTTTGGCGTATTGGCAGCTTCTCAGCAGCTGGGTTTTTTTCCCCTCTGAGGCTCTCTATCAAGTGGGATCTCTTTGTGTCAATGGTCTCAAACTAGACCCTCCTTCAGCCTGACTTGAACCCAGTACTCCAAACAACACGTTTAGGAGTGACCAGGTAAAGACTTGAGGGTTGCCCAAAGAGTGTTTTCTCCTGCAGAACGTGCAATAAAAGACATGGAGGACCACCACATAAAAATGAGATTTTGCCTGAATTCCAGGCCGTGCATTTTGAAGCATTATCTGTAGTCACGAGACACACAGTCTGTTGTGGAGTTATCTCCACTGCCAGGTAGTGCCAGGCAATGGGAATGTTGAATCGCATGGCACTATGTGTTCATGTGCCCTAAGTTGCATCAAAAGAGCCTAAATTAACAACTGAATTATTCTAAATCTAATCCAGAGAAATCCTCTGAAGGGCATTCTCAGGAAGGGGAGACACAATGCCCACATTTTTTAATAAAACGTGCTCCAAAGCCTAGCAATGTTCTAAAAAACGTTGCTGACTCCCAACATAGCAAGAACTATAAAAAATCAACAAAACAAAAATACAACAAATAAAAACACAGTAATTAATCCCACTTGGATAAATCTAAGCATTCTGCTTTTCCAATTAAAAATAAAGTTAAAAAATCTTAACAGAAATGGAATTCAGTTATGGAAAAAAAGTGGTTTTAGAATAGGAAAATCACATTGTTTCCAAACATGGCATTTCAGCAATCTCACTTTTTTCAGTTGGTCACAATGACCTTTTCATAAGACAGTTTTCATTTTTTATAAGATGATCTGACAGAAAATTGATTCTTTGAAAAATTTCACAATTTTTCCTAGAAATATTTTTCAAAACTGCAATGCAGTAGCTATTTATTAGTTTTGAAAGGCTGTGGTGTGACAAAGCTTTATTATCCAACATATTAAAGAATAATTATCAGTATGCCTGTAAGTAGAAGCAATGCTGAACAGTAAGAGATGAAAACATAACATATAAGCTACAATAAAACTGTAAATTCTAAGTTTCAAAACTACATAAAATAGGAGTGAATGTCCACACTTTTTTTTTTTCCTATATGTGTTAAAAATTCCCTAGGCAAAAAGAAGCAAAAAAGGGGAGAAATACTCAGAAGAATTTTCTTGGAGAAGAGGTGGTAACTACAAGCTGTACCTGGTACTGATGGGTGTCTAATTGTCACTAATTTTTATGCTGAAATGGCAGCAGGGGTGAACGTTACCTCACTGTTCTTTTTTCTAAACTGGTTGTAAGTACGTTCTCTTAATTGTAGCCTCGCTAATACATGATAAAAATATTCCACACACAGAACTAGATTGGGGAATATTTTTATTTGTGTGAAGGTTTAATTCACCACAAACCTGCCTTTCCTGACCAAAAGACATTATTTAAGCAAATTTTAACTATATTTATCTAAGCATATCTCTTCATATGGTGTTAAACCAAGCAGGTGATCACAGAGGCACAAAAAAGCATTTTGTTTGAGGGGAACAGCCTCATTTCAGTGGAACCTGATATGAAGAGACAAGAACACCCAGGAAAAAGACAGCTCAGCACTGAAAATCATACACTGCACACCTAGGGTGTACAAAGAATTGATTTTTTAAAGAGTTATTTACCTACAGCAGAGTGAAAGATAGATGTTCTTGTAGGGCTAGCGAATGTGATACCATCTGATTTGGAATTAGACACCAAAAGAGCATTTATTATCATCCTACACTTGTTTAATCTGAATTCAGAACTCTCCATCCTCCCATCCCTGTTGCCCTCCATCATCTGCCCCACCACATGCATTTTTCAGTGTCCCATGCACTGATCTTTTTGTGCACACGGACACCAATTTCAAAATTTCCTATCAAAGAAAGATTCCTCCTATTCTTCACATTTATGTTCTGCAGAGTAGACGCTTTAATCTTACATCTGGGGTGTTAATGTATTACAGTCCTTTTATCTTTAAGTGTATCTTTAAATGTTTTAAATTTTATATTCTAATGATTATTAAGCTGTTATAATAATTGTTAGTTTTGAGGGATGTGGATCCAGACAGACCCACTTGATAAATACAGCTATATGAGCAAACCAACAACACTATTTGGTTAGCAAGATTTTTTTAAGCTAATATTTGCAGGAATCAATTACATCTCTCAATTTCGTTAAAGCATATAGATTATAGAGAAGCCTATAGAGTTTTACAGCTAAAATACAGTGGTTACAAGAGGCTGAGGTGCAGAGGGCAGGGGAGCGGGGCTGCTCGGGGCTGCGCGGTGCTGGGGACAGTTGCCCGGTTTGGCACCCCCCTGCCCGCAGTGGGAAGGGGCTTCTGCAGGTTTTAACTTCTCTCTGGTTTTCTCACCTGCAGGGTGACCTGGCAGTGAGGTTGGAAACAAAGCACCAACGATGGAGACTATTTGTCCCATCTACATGGAACTTGTTTTTAAGATCCATGTCCCATCCATTAAAGTGGCCAAATTGCACAATTTGAAAGGAGTAATTATTAATAAAATGACATGTATTTGCATCAGAACTGCAAAGATGCCAATAGCCTATCTATTCACTGCTCATGCAGTAACAGTAAAATCTCACAAGGCATTAAAGTCTCCTCTTCTTCTTCAAACCTCCAGAATGCAGCCTGCTGGAAATCCTTTGGCTCTTATTAAAGTATTGGTCACAAAACGTTTCCAGCAATGCACACTTTTACAAGCCTATGACCTAACTGGAAAATTTAGACCTGGTAAATTGTGGCATATAAAAATTATACAAAGCACCACTGCTAATTTCTCTAGAATTTATCACAACAAGCTCCACGCTTTCCTAGTTTTGCAAGCTGGTACACAGATAAAGAGATGGCTTCACTACAAATATATGTAGTAAGTCTTACAGTTCTAAATCATGTAATTTGTTAACAAATAAAAAAGATATTTCCAAAAAAAAAAAAAAGGAAAAGAAAAGAACATTAGGCAGGGGTGAAGTTCTTCACACAACTCACACAACCAACTTGAAAGTGACTATAGCAGAGAGCAAAATCATTATCCTTCCATACATTTCAGCGTATGGCAAGAAAACTTTCGCATAGCCCTGCACTTCACGCTTTAGCCAGGAGTTTTCCAGAGATACAGCAATGCCAGGAAGCCAAGGATTGCATTTGCCTTGACTTTTCACGTTCTTTTTAGGACGTCTATAGAATCAAATCAAAATGATTTGCCGTAAGGTGAAGCTGCAGCATGTGTGTAGGATTCTGAAGAGAGTGAAAAAGAAAAGCACGGCCTAAGTGATCTCTGATGATCTAAGGCTGCATAAAGCAAAGTAAAGCTGAGCACAGAAAACAAAAATCTGAATTTGTAAAACTTGAAGTCAGAATACTTGGTTTGCCTGGAAGTGGACAGATTGGCCTTCCACATGGAACTAGTT